GTTCAAAACGTAAAAAAATCTATGAGTTTGGATAACTTGTCCGATTGACTGTCTTTTGTCTGGATGACCAATATAGTCATTTGTATAGTGAAAAACAGATATCAGAACGGTCAAATTTTGGACCATTGCAAACTTCTGGTCGACCACCTCTTTTAATCGATCAATCTCCTCTTCCTGTCGGTCAACTGCTCAGCAGTTTTGTCCTTTTTAATTTTTGGCCCCGTTTGTTCCAATTCAAAGGTTTTGAAAGGCATGGAAGATGTTTTTCAAGTCAAAATATTATTTTTAAAAGTCATTTTTATATTTGATCAAATGTTTCCATTATAATGATTTTTAATGTGCAAAATTATTTTTAATGATTAGAAAGATTTTGAACTTAAACATTCATCACTAAAAATTAAAGTGTTAGTCCATTTACACTTTATATAAGAAATCAAGTATTTGATCTTGCTCTGAAGTTTGGCTTTCAAGTTCTTAAATGTGTTACTTTGATCTTGACCTCTTTTATAAGTCCGGTTTGTGATGATAGTTTTTGATGTTTTGGCGACTATCGATCGATTTTTCATAGTATGTTTTGAAAAATTATAATCACTTAAATTCAATTTGTTAGTAAACAAGATTAACTTGTTTCTTATAATCAAAAGTTTAAGGTTTTAATCAACCATAGGTCAACAATGAAGCCCTACGGAAAGCACTGGATAAGCTACTTAGCAATGAGTTCATCAAAGAAGCACTCTATCATGCCTGGGTTGCCAACCCAGTGCTTGTCAAAAAAAGCAATGGCAACTGGCGATATACATAGATTACCAACCTCAACAAAGCTTGCTTCAAGGATAGTTTTCTCCTTTCAAGTACTGATTGAATAGTTGATACCGCTGTAGGGCATGAATGACTTAGCTTCATGGATGCATACTCTAGATACAATCAAATCCGAATGTACGAGCCAGATCAGGAGCACACATCGTTCATAACAGATAGATGTCTCTACTGTTACGAAATCATGTCATTTGGTCTGAAAAATGTTGGAGCCACCTATCAACGACTTATTAACTCTATGTTTGCCCAACATATAGGCAAAACCATGCATGTTTATGTTAATGACATATTAGTAAAAAGAATCGCTACCTAAGATCACATCATACACTTGTCAGAGTTGATTGAAATACTCAGAAGATATAAGATGAAGTTAAACCCTCTCATATGTGCTTTTGGGATGAGCTCTAGCAAATTCCTAGGATATAAGGTGAATCATAGAGGAATTTCCAATTCTGATAAAATACGAGCTATCATAGAAATGAAGGCACCAACCAAGCCCAAAGAGATCCAAAGTCTCACAGGAAGAATTGCTGCCCTGAGTAGATTTGTGTCCAGCTCTACTGATCGCTGTAAACTTTTCTTTGAAATTCTTCAGGGAAGGAAACATTTGAATGGACCCCTGAATGTCACAAAGCCTTTGAAAAACTAAAAAGGCAACTAGCTCAACCACCTATCTTTTCCAAAACTAAGGCCAACGAAAAATTATCTCTTTACTTGGCCGTCTATGAACATGCTCTAAGTGCTATACACATCTGAAAAGAGGATGACATACAACATCCCGTGTATTATGTTAGCGATGCACTTAACGATGCTGAGTTGCGATACTCCCCCATGAAAAAGGTGGCCTATTCTATGATAATGTCTGTTAGAAAGCTACGTCCTTACTTCCTGGAGCATCCTATTGAGGTCCGCATCAATTACAATAGATGATGCAAGATGGGTAATCTAGTTTCTAGTGATGATTTGATTGCGGTGGCCAACTTGTCCACTTTTAGCTATAAATGGGGATCAATGGTTCTCTTGATGGACCACGATTTTACACACTTTCCGCTTTTGTACCCCTACACTTTAAAAGGAAAGTCAATAAGATAAATCCTTATTTTTCGAGCTCATCATCTCGCTCAAAATTATTATTAAGTTGATCCAAATTGGCCACGTCAACAAATAAGATTAGCAAATATGCTAACAACGCTTCCTAATGCCTATATCATTTACAAGCAACTTACAGAGATGCTCCTAAAATCAAGGGTCTTTTGAAAAATCATATAAAGAAATATTTTTGAAAAAAAAAATACCGTGTAAAGTTAAGTGAAACTTTTTAATTAAAAAGTGACATTACCACTTTCTCTATCAGGAAAATTTAGTTCACATTTAACATAATACAAAATAAATTAACATTTAACAAAAATTCTTATAAACAAATTGAAAGTTTCACCAAAGATGTTGGGTTCTATTAGAAATTAATTTTGTGGGACTTTTTTATTAAAAAGTGGTACAACATGTTATGTCACTTTTTAATGAAAATGTCACAAACAATATAACTTAATTGTTCTTAATAAAATCTTTGATAAGAAGAAATTTACCCTACTATACTAAATCCCAAACCTGTAAAAAGAAAGAAAAAAGATAGACACTTAAATAAAATTCAAATGAACTAACAACAAATACATGCTTCAGAAATATCAAATGATCTTTTTTTTTTTTTTACAATAAATATGGATGCAATTCAAATAGTGACAAAAATTGAAAAAAGTGAAATACACTCAAAAAAGTAAGAAACACCTATCAAAACTTTAGAATAAATCTAAGGGTGGTTGATTATATTTCTATTTACTAAATATATAACACAACTTCATTTTAGGGACATAATACCCTATAAGTTGGAAGGGCAAAAATTCAAAAAAATGGCAAACGTTCAAAAAAGTGTGAAACACCAATCAAAACCTTAAAATAGATTCAGGGTATGGTTGATTTTCTTCTTTATTCTCCATTTTATCTCTTTGTGATCGTACTTCACTTGTATTAACTAAACAAAGAATGTAACTTAATTCTAAAAACACAATAACCCATAAGTTGAAAATTAAAAAAAAATCAAAAAAGTGACAGAAATTAAAAAAAAAATGACAAATTTAAATTAAAAAGTGACACGTGTTACTTTTTATTCATGTTGTCGACTAACAAGAATTTGACAAAAGCACATATAAAGAGTGCCAATGAATTCAAAATATACGAGAAAAAAAATGTTTTCAAACTTCTATGCAAATAGCATGGATGTTGCACAAATTGTAATATTTACATCTTGTGTATACAAGTTTAAGTTATTTTATTTTTCCCTCAACAGCAGCCGCAGTGGAGATACTTATTTCTTCACGGAAGTGCAACACTTTTCATTAACCTCTCTCTCTATCCCCTCAAACATTTATATATTCAAATTCATAAAAGCAAATTTTATACACGCACTAAAAAACACACATAAATTCAGCTATACTTTTAGTGCTCAAATGACCTTATACAATGTGATTACAGTAACTGGATTCTCAAATAAGCAGTTTTGCAATCGATTCTCTCTACCATATTGGAATTTGTTTACTAGTAAACAATGGGATTCTAAATTTCAGCTTAGATCAAGATCAATAGTAAAATTATCTATGATAGCCTATCAACTAGAAATTACTAAAAAAGCATACATTTCCATAAAACAAAATTCAATAATCAAATATGAGTGATTTAACATGTCTCCTTGGTGGATGACTTAGCAACTCCTTGTCTTTCAATCATCTTTTTTTCTATTCTCTTCACTTTCTCCAATGGTTCTTCATCATCACCCACTTCTAGAATGGCCCCGTTCGAATCAAAATAGCCTTACCAGTTAAGGCCCACTTATGGAACTTATACTAATGCAACGGCTTTCCTTGGAGATAATTGAGGAGAAAGAAAGGTCTCATTGATTGCCTTGCATTTAGTCAGCTGTCTTCCATTAGATAGTGATGTTCCGTGTTGAGAAGAAGATGAACAGGTAGATGGAATAGGAGGAATGTGTTAATCATTGTGATTTTTTACATCGCATATTTCTTCATCAGTGAGGGTTGGGATTTTGGTGTTTATGTAAAGAATAATACTATCTAGCACCACTGGTACTAGAACATTATGTGGCATTATGTAATAGGTTCAATTAAAAATGAAAGTATGTGATTCATTTAATTATATTTATTATTAATAACATTTAGTGTCACCTAGACAGGTATTGCAACACCTAATAGCATTACTCTTATGTAAATGACTTTTTTTCATTGGGCATTTTTTGGCGTATTACTTATGGTTAATTAAAAGGATTGATGAGAAATCATTAATTGTGTATTATTCCATCAGCTCAAACCCTATTTATAAACTATACAATTCAAAATTCAAGTTTAAAAGTTTTTTATACAAAAATCTGGTGATAATTTAATTTTTTTTAATATTATAAAAATAAATTAATTTACATAACCAACCAACCACGTCCAACCCAAACATTAACCCTAACCCTAAATCATTTCCCTTTCTCCCCCATCTCTCTCTATCATTTTCCCTCTTCTCATTTCCCACCGAAACTGAAGCCACCGTGGAGAGACCGTCACCAAGAGAAGACGATAGCGACGTTGATCTCGACAATAACGATAATCAGTTCGCCATCTTCACAGCGATGCTATGCTGCGCAGCGGCGCTATGTAGAGCCACCGCGCGCAACGATCGATCAACCCATTCCACAATCTCCAGCGCCCATCAACCCTTTATTTACCAGTGTTTCCGTGCACGGTAGCTTGCTGCGAGCTGTTGCTCGCAGTAGCGAGTCGACCCTGGGAGTTGTGTAGCGTGAGCGCCGCATTGTTGCATGTAGTGCAGCATATAATCTACTTTCTTCATTTGTATTTGTGTTTGTGTGGTGCGATATGATTTCTTTGTCATCTCTTCTATGTTCTACTCATTTGTTTAGTGTGGTAGTGATGGTTGTGGCGTGGTAGAGATGAAGGAGATGGTGGATTTGAGGAGAGGGCTGTGATGACTTTTGATACAGGAGGTTGTAGTGGTGCAGCGGTGGTGGCGATTGTGGTAGGTTTGGTGAATAGCTTGGTCTATATAATTAGCATTTACATTTCTCTTTAAATTCCAAGATTTCTTGTTAATTTTGATGCCTGAGAGGGATAATGACACGGGAAGAAAATATCCTAAGGTGCAATTTTAATACTGGTGGGGACGGTTGTGGCAACCTCGTCGATGGTGGTGGTGGAGGAGTGGATGATGGTGGTGGGAGTAGATCAAAAAAGACCAAGCAAAAAAAAGTTCCACAGAAAGGATTAGGAGTTGCCCAGTTTGAGAAAATTAGGTTGGAGGAACAACAGAAAAAGGGGGCAGCTGTACAAGCAGCCAATATTTTGGCAAATAATGCAATTGGTTCACATAATGATTCTACTGCATGTTTAGCTATTCCATGTCCCAGTTTTAGGCCAAATCTTTGCCCTTCAAATTCAGTCCCCTTGCCACCACTATCACCAACTGATCTACCCTCATTGAATTTCTTGCATAGGCCTGTCCAATCGAGCAAAAGTGTTCTACACCCAAATTCTGTTCAATTGTCCAAACCATCGAATATAGGTGGAAATGAAATAGGTTTGCCAGCAACTTCGGGTCCTGGGCAGGGCAATTGGCCTAGATTGTGGAATGGTAAGTAGAATCTTGAAAGGGAAAAGTAAATGTTAGATCATCGTAGATTTGCAATTTGGTATCATATAAATTTTCCGTATGAATCAAATGCCTTGGTTTTGCCTCTTCCACAACATTCACATCAATTTCATCATCCTTCTTCTTCATAAATGGATTTGCGAAGGAAGAGGTGGTGGCAGTGATTGTTGCTGTGGTGGTGATTTTGAGGTGATTTTTGTGCTGATTGGTTGGTGGTGGATTTATGGTGCTTTCGGTGATGATGACAGAGATAAATCAGTCTTAAATGCATCCAATTTTCGTGCTGGGACTCAAGATTTATGTATATGAAACAGTTTCAGATGCATTATAAGAACAATTTACTTTGAGCAGTTTTTGTTTTTTTTTTTTTTTTTTTTTTT